AGCTTTAAATAATGAAAGAAAACAAGCTAAATCTGTGACAAACTGAGTATAAACATATTCTAATAATGACTAAAGAGTATGCCATGATATATGTTAATAATGAGAAAGAAAAAGAGAGAGCTGAAACACATGAATACTAACAATAAAAAGCTAGTAGAAATATGTTTCCCACAAAGGAAGACTCTTTAAAAATTAGGCGAAGATCTGCTTGAAGATTAGTACATCTCTTAAAAAAATGAAGAACTTCTTTCCAAAGAGGAAACCCCTTCATAAAGCAGGGGAAGAGCCAGTGAGGAAGTTCTTTTTGAGCAGTAATCCAGCTTGCTGAACAAGTTTTCTCCTAGAACATCAGGTCTCTGCTGGAATTTCAAACAAATTTCCTTTTGTGGCAAGCAGTCTCAGATCTTGACCTGTTTTTTTCAATGAGTTTTCCTCTTTGCTAAGCAGATCTTTCAAATTTCACCTGCTTGTTACAGAGGTTTCTATGCCTCTTTGGCAATATGCTTTCAATGTGATTGTTGAAGAGGTTCTTATCCAGCAAGCCAAGTTTTACCTTCTTGTCAGGAATGTCGCCTCTATGGAAAGCAGAGCATTGCCGGTGATGCGACAGGAGCTCCTCAATGGCAAGCAGAGCATCAGATGCTTGTCAAGAAGAAGGGTTCCTCTTTGGAAAGCGGAGTTTCACCTTCTATTCCAAGAGGATTCCACTTTGGAAAACAAAGCTTCACCTAACTTTTTGAGGAGACTACCTCCTTGAAAAGCAAGTTTTCTCCTCAATGTTGCAGATGATTCCTGTTGAACAAAGAGCTTGCACCTAAACAGTCATTCTTCCCAGATGGTATATATCTAACGAGGAGAATTCTTTCCCAACAAGTAGCTGCACTACCTCATCACGCACAACTCTAATCTCGATGGTGAGGAGAGACTGCTCCTGGCCGAAAAGACTGTATAGACTGAACGGCGGAGAGGTTTCCTCACAGCCAACAAGAATGTATAGTCTCAGCGGCGGGGAATATTCCTCTCAGCCGTCGACGAGCTTAACAAAGCCTCTCGATCGGAGGGTCCGGAAGGGACGCTCTCCGCCGGGTCTTGTGTTAAGTTCGGCCGGCGAGACTATAAAGTCTCGATGTCTGAGAGAGTTTCCTTTCGGTCATCGAAAACTATACAGTCTTGTCGGCTGCCCCCGCCGTTGAGATTATACAGTCTCGACAGCCGGGAGAAATCTCCCCTGACTGTTGAGCCTGTACAGTTCTTGATGGTTGAGAGGAATTCCTCTCGGCCTCCGAGACTACACAGTCTCGGCGGCCAGGGAGGATTCTTCCTGGCCGTCCAGAATGTAAAAAAAGGGACAAAAAAACAGAAAGGGAAAAAGGAACTGATAGAGGAACAGACTGGATTGAGATGAAAACAGTCTTGATGGCTGAGAGGAATTTCTCTCGGCCTCCGAAACTTAATACACAGTCTCAGCGGCCAGGTCCCGGTCAAGAATATACAAAATGGCAAAAAAAACAGAAATGGAGATGGAACAAATGAACTAACAGACTAGGATGAGATGGAGATAATAGAGGAAGAAAAAACCGAAACAGATTTCCCAAGATAAGAAGACAAAACAGACCTATAATAGACTTTTGTTTTTTTGTTTAGATATAAGAATGATGAAGAAAGAGATCACTCTGAGTTACTAGAGTGAAGGCTGTTAGTAGGGATGCGAGAGCCTTGGGAAGATAAGGTAAGAGAGCGGAGACGAGTGGGAGAGAAAAAGTTAAAAGAAGACGATTTGACGGGAGGAGGAGGAAGTTTGGTTCAACGGAGGATCTTTTTGATCAGCTTGTTTGCTTTTGAGAGCACACTTAGGGCGTGTGCACAATCTCATCATCATCCTCATCGTCTTCAAAGACGGAAGGGAGAGTACCGGATTGGCAGGGTGGGCACACGGAGGCTGCGCTCTTGGGCATCAGGTAAAGCGAGAAGTCATCGATTGAGTAAACATTGGCTGAAGACATATTGCTAGAATCAAGACAAAGGTAAGTGGAGAAGAAAACGGTGGGGGATGGAGATACAAGCTTGGGGGGATAACTCGAATCGGAAGAAGGTCAGTAGGCGAAGTGGGGTCTGGGGGGAGGGTGGATTGGTTTGGATGGTTGTTGGGTTGTGGTCAAGTGGAGATGGGGATGATGGAACGCCTGGATTTGTCGGGAATGGTGTTGCTTTATAGGCGTGTTTGTCAAGGATCCGGTCGGCCATAAAGCCCCATCGGCCTGTCTATTTCGTTTCGGGCCGTCCTGAGCGCTGGTGAGGCGGTGAGCCCCGGTCAGTCTGATTCGCAATCGCGCCCATTTTCTTGACCAGCTCGGCTGGGCCATTCCATGCTCGGTATTCTGACTCCGACTCCCGGAGCTGCTGGCGGGATGGGTCAGTGTCCGAGCGCAAGTCAGTCCGATTCGGATTAGCACGCATCCTCGCCCAGCTCGGTCATATAGCCTCTGGTCCACTTCAAGCCTCCGTGTTTTGATGTAGGCCGTTCCGAGCCGCGGACGAGACGAGCTAAGTGTCCGGGCGCTCGCCTCCGTCCACCTGTGCCATAGCGGCTGTGCGAAATCAAGCACCGATATTCGTGGTCGAGCCGTCCCATCAGTTGAGCTCGGAATAGCACACGTCCCCTTCCTACTCGGCCAAATTAGAAGCCTCAGGATTTTAGGTCGAGCCGTCCCAAGCGGCCGACGGGACGCGGGGGTTGTGTCTGATCAGCCCCTGTCAATCCACACGTACACCACCAGAGCAGCTCGACCGCAGCCCGGCGAAGTGTTCGCCGGTCAAACCGTCCAGCCCCGACCCTGCTGAACCTTCCTGAAATCCGACGTCAGTTAGTCAGATTTGCAGCCATGGGGTCGGGGTGGTCAACGCACCGACGCATATCTGCCCGGCGGGCAAGCGGTCGGCCGTCAGCATGGCGCTGACGCCAGTACATTGTCTCAGGGTGCTGAAAGACCCTGAGATTATGGATTCTGGCGAGCTTAACTAATCCTCTCGTGACGAGAGTCGTTTGCGGGCAGGTCTGGGCGGCAGCCCAGTCTCGTCAGAGAGGCTTACAACGTATTACTCAAAGCCCGCATGAGGCAGGCATGATTTTGAGGTCCTTTTTTGTGTTTTCCCCTCTGTTTTTGATGTTATTGCTCTCAAAATTTCATTGTGCTTTTTTTCTTGTTCTATGACATCTCCTTGATCTATCTGTATTTTTTCATATTTTTATTTCCATACCAATCTTTTTTAAAAGAACAAACAGAAAAAAGACAAATTCTCATTTTGCAGGCATAAAATATGCTTATACTGAGAGTGCGCTCGAGCCTCTCTGCCAAATTTCCAAATCAAAGTTCAAAATCATGAACTTCACTGCATGTTTTCTACCAGAACCAGACTGGTTTTTGCAATGAAAAAAATATCTAAAAATCTGGATTATGTAGATCTTTCATCCACATGAATTAAAAATAAATTTGAGTTGTAATGAATGAGTGGTGGGGCAAACAAGGTCGCCACCACCAAAACGGTGCTTCTGGGTCACACCGCAAATGCGTTTTAAGTTTCAAGTCCCTCCCTGCGGGAGGGGGCGCTTCGCGCCCAGCCAGTCACACCAGCGAGCCTCCCACCAGGGGGACTTGTGTTAAGTTCGGGATTCTGGGGTGATTTGGTCGGGCTGCTGGCCTGAGGCGGTCAGGATTCTCATGCCGTGAGATAAAAAAAAATGGAGTCCGGACCGGAATCGGAGTCTCAGCCACCCGACCCATCAAAAAGGTTGTCTTCTTAGAGGACTTGAACCGGGGCAACCCACCATCAGGTGGTTGTTTTCACCGCTCCACCATGTACCACTTGACTCTCGCGGCTAATTTCTAACATATAATACGCCATTCTAGCTCTTTGGCAATTTTTTTTTTCTCTAAGTCATTTTAATTTTTAATTTTTTTTTTTGTTTCAAGACCAACTTTTCTCGAGCTTTTGCCTGAAAAGGTTAGCTCTGAAAGAGTCAAGAATTCATTTTTAAACTGTAGCTTTGACGTCAGCGCGGCCGTTGCACTCCGGTCATCCTGACCAATCACATCTTGAAAGGAGCTTTGACGATACCCATAATCATGGCCTGACGGGCAAGTCAACTCCGACTGCATGACAGTCGGCAGTCTGACGGCCAAGTCAGAGCCGACTGCATGACAGTCGGCAGTCTGACGGCCAAGTCAGAGCCGACTGCATGACAGTCGGCAGTCTGACGGCCAAGTCAGAGCCGACTGCATGACAGTCGGCAGTCTGACGGCCAAGTCAGAGCCGACTGCATGACAAGCGGCAGTCTGACGGGCCAGTCAGAGCCGACTGCAAGACAGGCGGCAGTCTGACGGCCAAGTCAGAGCCGACTGCATGACAAGCGGCAGTCTGACGGGCCAGTCAGAGCCGACTGCAAGACAGGCGGCAGTCTGACGGGCCAGTCAGAGCCGACTGCAAGACAGGCGGCAGTCTGACGGGCCAGTCAGAGCCGACTGCGAGAAAGCCAGCGGTCCGACGAGTGAGTCGACCCCGACTGACAGCGGCACGGCGGGGTGACGATCGCGCAAACGCAAACCGGCGGCATGACCGGCAGGGCAGGCCAGCTGTCAGCCTGACGGGATCGTGACCGCAGAGTCATCCCAACTGTGTGAGGACCGTCAACCCGGCGACAAGATGACCGCGCCTTCGGTCAAAGCTTTGACGTCGGGTGGATAGACCGGAGCAGCTTAAACTGCTCTGGTGGTGTAACTGGGCCATAGTATTAGCAGCGGTATATCAATCATTTCTTTACGGCCGGGTTCCCCATCGATGATTTGCAGTTTTCAACTCCTCCCGATTTAAGCTTGTATACTACTTACTTACTTGAAAAGGAGTTACAAGTGCAAAGGATAGTCTCTTTGGCACTTTGGGTCTCGGAAACCCATCTGTTCGCAATTGAAAGCTTTCTCGTGATCGTACGAGGAGCAGTCACGATGATGCATCCATCCATGACTCCTCCAGGGCCTCGTGTCCATCATAAGATTGCAGGCCAGCATGCACTCTACATAGACTCTCAACGCCGGAGAATATTCCGCTCAGCCGGCGACAAGCTTGACAAAGCCCCACGATCGGAGGGTGCCGAAGGGACGCTCTGAGTCTCCAGGTCCAGTCAGGCCCACTCACACACGGCTTTATTTTTCAATAAATCTCATTTTTTTGAGCTTCCCCCTCCCCCCCCCCCCCCCCCCCAAAGAAAAAAGATATCAAAACCAAGAGCCCATTTTTTTGTACAAAAACAAAAAAGATGTGGTAATAAATCATATTATATTTGTGAGTTGGTATGTAAGTTATAACAATGATAAAAACATGTTTTATTTTATTTTTTTTTCAAAGAGGAGAAGACACGACTAAAAGGAACGACCAACAAGATGCAAAAGATCATTTGAAAAAAAAAAAAAAACAGGTTTAATAGTTGGTTGCGACACATATCAGCATGTTATATATATTCATATTCATATTATATTAAGTGATGTAAAAACATCAAACGTACACTTCATAACGACTCAAGATTCAACAAAAAAGAGGTGAGAAACGATAAAAAGAAGCAAGCCTACTACTATTTTTTTTTTTTTTGGAAAAAAAGGGGCAGATATTAAAGAGAGCTTTTTTTTAAAAAAAAAGTTGTAAAGTTACAATTTGATATCGGTGGAATAGATGTTAAGTTTCCCGTTTCCATCGGTGATCGAGATCATAGCCCGATGTCTATTGACCATCACCAGCCAAAAAAAGCGAAGAAAAATGAAACAGAAGAGATGAGCAGGAGTATACCAGATACCAAGGGTTATGAGAGAGAGAGAGAGTAGGACTGACGGATGAAAGCAGAGCCCGGTGATCGGCTGAAGACTAGACAACGCATCACGAAGCGGGTTCCCAATTCCGATGCCCCTGAGTCTATGCCCATAGTCGCCCATCAAGGGGGACGTGATCGAAGTGCTCGGGAATCCCGAGAGGGTGTTCGACCCCTGTGGATCTTGAGCATCCGTCGATTCGTACAAGTTTCGGAGATTGAAAAGCACTCGGGGCGCCCGTTCTACTGTGAACTCTTCATCATTTTCATCATTACCATTGTCCAAATTCCAGATCTTAACACTTCCATTCATCGAGCCACTACGTTTGAGAATTGTGGGAACAAACAAAAATGTCAGTTCCTATCATCAATGAGTAGATGAAATGGGAAAAAAAAACTAACCTAGCTAAAATGGGGGCATGGTCATGTAGATCAAAGGCGGGCATGCCTTCCTCATGAGCCAGGAAGGTTCTGAGTGGGGAATCGAAGCGCAAGTCCCACTGAGCGATTAAGCCGGTGGAGTCGGCAGAGAAGAGTTCTCTACGATGGCCGGCCTGGAGCTTGATTTTAGAGCACCAAGAAGAGTGGACGGATCTGAAGACCTTGACCATCGAGTTTTTCGGCGGCTTGCGTCGATCGAACATCCTCACTGAGCCGTCGCCGAAGCCGGCCGCAATCATCCAGCCCGAATGATGGTCCGAACTCAGACTCGTCAAGCAACTGTTCGACCGCGTCTTGATATCCTCCACACACCTCTCTCGCCGAGAATTCCACACCTTGATGTCCCGCGAATTCCCACCGACTAGCAGCAAGCCCGTGCTTTGTTGCCAATCAGTTACACTCCCCGATTCTCCGAGACTGCTCGGTTCATTGTTTGGTAATCCTTTGAATGCCGTCACCATTGCCAACTTCCCAGGCCGCTCGTAATCTCGAAATATTCTCACATTTCCATCAGCTGATTGTGCCAATATAGCAAAACAAAAATCCGGTCATCAATTATCCAGCCCAAGTGATTTGATCCTCTCTGGGGAAAACAAAAGGGGGTTATAAGAGAAAGCTCACGAGTACTAGCCAGTAATAACGCCACATTTTCCTGATTGATCAATTGCATACTAGTTATTCGATCAAGCGGATCATCAGAGGGTTGAAATCGATTGAGAATCGATTTTGAACGCCAATCATAAACCCTAGGAAAAGACCCGAACACAAGAAAGTCAGTCTCGAGGTTCACTTGATCATACTATTATTTTTCATATACTAGGGAAAAAAAGAAGTGAGTGCATACGTGATATAGCCACTGGAATCTGAAGTAATCAATTGATCTTCGAATTGATGCATCAAAAGATTATTGATCGGTTTCGAATGATTGAAGGAGCAAACCAAGTGATCCCAATTGTTTGGACCTATGAGCCACACATCAAGCCCACCGAGGGAAAATTTGATGAGTGGTCTTCTTTGGAGAGAAGAAGAAGAAGAAAAGGATCACTAACCAGGATTGGATTTTAAAGTAGGCCCATCGAGGATGACTCTGAGGTTGCGTTGTTTTCTCCAAGAGTCTTTGATATTTTCGAGGCTACCAGCGTCGATATGATGATGATGGGGAGGATGAAAGTGATGGGGATGACTGATGTGAGAGAGGGCGGCATCGTCGACCACAGTGTTCTGATGGTTGGGGGCTCTGGGATGATGAGACTGGTGAGTGGGTGGTCGCTGCTCGGTGTACTCGGCCTTCTCGTTAAAGACTTGGGGTTGATCATTATCATGGTCATCATTATTATCAGAGTCCGAAGATTCCGATTCCGATTCTCCTCCGGAGCTCGTCATCTTGGGTTTCAAGAAGATGTGCGAACTCAATCGATAATAATCTGACATCAATGGCAGCATCGTTTGTCGCTCGCTTGGTTCTGGTCGACTATTCAATTCAGCTTTCAGTTTCTCGAGGTTGTGTAATCCCAGATAGTAGAGATAATTCTCTTCCTCGCCATCTTCCTGGTGGGAAGGATTGGCTACGGGTGAAGTAGTGGAAGTGCTAGCGTTCATTTTGCCGGGTTGATAGCTCGGACTTGCGGCCGAGGGGAATGCGGGTTGGAGGGGGTAAGAACGATTGCGTTGTCGACGGGTATGATCAGAGGCACGCGTGTGAGCAATGATGGATTCGATCGACTGGTTAGTCGAGAGGCCCTGAAGATGTCGATCATCTTCCGTGCTACACTGGGTTTGAGACGAAGAAGTAGATGAGGCATGGGAGAATCCATTGTGGTTCAGCGGCATCTTTGATGGCTGGCTTGACTGGGGACTATCGAGTTCGACGTTGATGATTGGGTTTACCGACGCTGACTTTCGTAAGCCACTGGCGGATTTGTTGAGATCCTGTGGCGATTGAGTTAATGTCGAAGCAACTGGATCGTTTGAATTGAATACGGCCTGCTCAGGGGATCGACTGAGGGAATTGAATGGAGTTTTCCAACCAGATGACTTGACAAAATTCGGCACGAGATTGTTGACTGTACTCAGGGAATGAAACACAGAAGTAGAAGACCGATTGACAAGGCTCTGATTACTACTTTTCGGTTCTCGGCCGGTCGGGTTAGAACTCGTTGAAGCAAATGAGGACGCAATGAGATTGGAATGGCTATGATTGCCAAGCCTTCCCAGCGGCGTTTCTGACAATTGCCCAGTACCATCCACCCCGCCCCCGGGGGCTTCTCCGTAGCTCAAGTCACCCAATTCTAATAATTTTCCTAATACGCTGTCTAGTAATCTAGAATGAATATAATCAACTACTACCTTGGCTGGGCGTGCAACCTGCTCAGAGGGATCCAAACTCAAATCGAGTAAGACGATGTAGATACTAGTATACTCCATCCACAAATACGCGCGTAAAGATTCCTTGGGGTGAACTTCCTCATCAGCTTTCAACTTGTTGATCAACTTTTCGAGCTTCGCAGTCCGATCAGTCATCATGTGACTTTCATCAGCTCCAAGTGCAGTTTGTTTGCTTGATGATTTTTGTTGGCGATCGGCTTGATATTTTTGAATGAGCTTATTGATCTTCATTGACTTTTCTTGTTCCTGCTGCTTGATAAACTCAAAAGCAGCAACGATAAAGTGTCCGAGATGCTGATCAACTAATGCGCTGAGTACAACGACCAACTCTTGACGGAACATGGGAGATCCATCGGTTGAACAGTGACAACAAGCCATCGCGCTACCCACTTCGATGGAAACCTGCTCTTGATATCCCAACACAGTGAGATCCGGATTACTGGAGCTCAAACTGCTCAACTTGTTGGTCTGGTAAACCGACGGATTTGATTTATTCTGAGGTCGACTAGAGCTCGATTCGGGTTGTCTTTCCTCAGTCTGGCCTGGTATGATGGGAAACTGGTCTTCAATCACAAGTTGTTTTGGATTCGTCGAGACCCCGATCAGAGTGCCAAACGCATAGAGAGCAGCCGTCCTAACCTCGGGTACTTTGTCGGTCAACAAGTCACTCAGTAAAGTGTTGATTCCCATCTTGATCGCACGTCCTTTAACGAGGTCCGATTCCTCCCACATGTGCGCTAGAAGAATCAAATACCACTGTCTCTGCCATGGTACAAGTTCCTTGATTCGGTATATGATGATATCCAAAACGCCGAATTGCATCAAGGCAAGTGAATTGCCCCGTGAATTCTGGCAGGTAATAGAGAGAATGAAAGCACACATCGCCTTATGGTCAACGACGTTGACGATAGGTAGTTCCATGCTGTTGGGGGCCATGATCTTGATGAAATACTCAATGGGCCCTTCTGGACGAGCATGGGGTCGCGAAGCAACTCTCATCAAGTCTTGCCTTCCCTCTGGATAAACAGTCAAGATCCTCGCCCAAATAAAAATCAAGACCGGTTTCAAGTCGGCAGCTGGAGCTTGAAGAAGCTTCAAGACATACTGGAATATACCAATCGATAGGGAAAGGTGAACGGCCCAGGGACCAAGGTCCATAAGTCGGCAAAGTAAGATTAGTGCTCGCAATCGATGAACGGGGGATAGAAGGACTTGTAGTACGATCGGCAGCTGAGGTGGAGAGGGTGGGTAGATGTCATCTCCTTTGCGCGAGTTGAGTGGGAAATGCTTGATGTGAGTCGGCAATTTGTATCGAATTGGTCTTTCAGCTGGTTGTTGCTCAGGAATCTTGACGGCTTTGGGGGCACCTGAAGCAGGGGAAGCATGTGACCCAGACGACTTGCCAGCCAAATGAGGAGTTTTCCCATTCACTTTGACTGAGGCGCGTTTATCCTTGGGACTAGTCTGTGAGTTTGGATTTGAACAAGAAAAATCGGTGATCTCGACTTGGTTAATATTCACATCAGACCAGTTGTTGCAGCTCCACTGGAGGGATTCTCGTCTCTTCATCAGATCCTCGTCTTTTTCACCGCTCTCATCCTGATTTTCAGCTACGACAAATTTGAGCCAAACTTCGAATGCAGTAAGTTGTTGTGAAAAGAATGTCGATGGCATGTAAGGGACGATCTGAGGGGGGAGCGAGTTTGGGGGGTAATTTTGTTTGTTTTTCTCATAGACCGCTCGTGCCTCCTCGGATTTCCAAATCCCAGGTAACTGTGATAGACACATGTCGACTTCAAGATCCCAAGTGTGCCATAATTCAGAGTGGTGGGTTGCGGGTAGCTTTGGAGTTGACATGGGTGTACAGCCATAGGCTTTCATGACTCTTTCTGCCAAAAGGAACCCTCGAAAGGTACCAGCCAAGACCAGATCACCGCGAAAGATTTTGGTGAAAGTTTGACGATCGAGATGATTCCATGCGATGGCATCGGCGATCGAGGTGAAAATCCAGGTGAGTTCACCGAGTGGTGTCCGACGCATCTCCATCCGGCCTGGAACTTTATCAAGTTTACCAAGATCTTGGAAGAATTCTGCAGTTGAAGTCCATTGAGAACGTTGCGAGTTGTTTCGAAGGACATAGAACCTCAGGGCCATTTCGATCGGGGAGGTCAAACAAGAGGTGAACACATCCGCAGGTAATTTGGGATCACGTGGTAACATCTCATCAGGTTGACAGGCAGCAAGCTGAATAGTTTCGGATGTGAAATGCGGGCATTTGGTTGATGAGGGATCCCCAGGCTCCTGAAGCTGGTTTGCCGAGGGCTTCTTTGAGACAGATGGGGAGGCTGAGGTATTGTTGGTAGTGGTGGGAAGCTGGCTGCTTTGAAGCGGGGACAGGGTGGGCGGGGTCCGCAGATCTTGCTGTAGGATTCAGATTGGCATAGGTGGCCAAAATGGCTTGTCTAAGAGCCATGGCTGCTTCGCGCCCAAGTACCATGTTTTCTTCGTCCTTTTGAATGGCAGCGAACAAGAGGTGATTTAGGATTTGGCCGGCATTATTACAATCCCATATGAACACGGCAGGACTCCCGACCCAGGTGAGGATATCAAATAGTCGAATGGGGATATATTGAGTATAAGCTTTATTGAAAACCCAAATTTCACCGGTGGGAGTTGGTTTGGGGACACCGTGACCGTTATAGTAGACAAGACAGCGATCATATCTTGAATATTTACGAAGACCAAGCAGGGTTTTCTTGAACTCTTCTGCGTAGACATCCCCATAAGTTTTAAACTTGACGCGAGCATGGGTGGGGGCTAAGGATTCGAATTGCTGCTGAAGCCGCTTGCTGATGGTATCAAGGACGGTTTCCTTTGGTAATTGCTTGGGATCGGTCCAAGCTTCTAAGGTGGGAGCAGGGGAAGCCTTGACGATATCAGGAGGATCGAAGCCCAAGCGGAGACATAGGAATAGGGCAGCACAGGCGGTACGATGTTTGGGAGGTTGAGTCCAATGTGGGATCTAAACATGAAAGAGGGATAATGGATTGATTGGATTAGTATTATTTTTTTTTTCTCTGAGATGGGTATGAAAGATGAACTGAATTGATTACTTGAACGAGATCTGAGGGCGTGATATTCTTGTAGGGAGATTGATCCCAATATGATTGGTGGGACTTTGAGACTGAGTCAAGATAGTCGGGGTTTTCGGATGGGTCATCAAAACCATGCCTGATGAGCGATTGTGCGTTGAACTCGGTTAGCCTGAGATGGGCGAAGGGATCGGCGGAATAGATGAGCTGGTCGAAGGAGTCCTGGGGGGAGCTCGGAGGCTTGGAATAGATCGAAGATGCGGCGATCGAATGCGAACGAGCGCGACGGTGACGGTGATGATGGTGAGAGTGCCGAGTCGAATGGGAATCCGAGTCGGAGTCTGTTGAGGAGGATGAAGATGAAGATGTTGATGTTGGGGCTGAGGAGGATGAGCGAGGTCGATTGGGCAGGATGAGCCTGGCAGCAGTATTACTGTTGAGGTTGATATGGCTGTTATTCCGATTGTTGGTGGTAGTTGGATGAGGTGGATGGTATGCTCGATAGTCTGGTTGGATTGAGAGGTCCATCTCTCCTTTCGATCTAAACGGTCTTTGGAGGATGAGATTCACATAATCGAAATGGTTTGTTTGATCGATTTTGGTTATCAGCTTCTCTGAGTCTCGCTACATCTTATTCATCATCTCCATCGAGCTGACTACTACTGGCTGTCAAGATATCTGTTTGATCTCGAAGATGGTCATTATAGGATGAGGTCGTTGGGCTTACGGCTTCGCGTACGAGGTACATGTGGTCGCTGGATATATCCAGCTGAGGCTCTTGGTTATAGAGGATGTTCTTTATAGAGTGGATAGGGAACCAACCCCCAGCCTCTGGAGTTCTTGAGAAGACTCGATGAGCCCAACCAGCTGAGAGGACTCTGGTTGGTTTGGCGAGACTGCTTCTTGACAGTAGTCTAGTGGAGTGCCTGCTAAACAGTTCGGGAGAGAGGTGGATGAGGAGGAAGTGGATAGTACACTGCTTTGGTGTTGATCAAGAAGACGGTGACACCAGGGGATTGAGTTGTTGGTTCAGGTTGGGAGGCAGACCGAGGCTGAGGCTGGAGGGGCTGGCCGATTTATATACTGGGGGGGGATCGGCACCAAACTCGCTATAAGCATCAGCCGAGAAATATCCCAATACCGGGTTCGGAGCATTTTGAACCCTTGCCCAACGGAAGATGGGCCCAACCAGAAATCAGCATCGATCAGCAATCCTCCGGACCGTACAAAATCCCACTAGTCCAACTGCTTGTCACTCGTGGGCTCATGTCTCTAGCCTGACGTACTATGTATCTATGGGCCGATAGCAAACTCTCCGTAACTGTGGCCTGCGAAAACGTCCCATCTGATAATGATTCGTAGTCGGCTATCAGGGACTTAATCATTAGCACTTGGTGTTTTTTTTGCTCCCGTTCCCGATATATCGAACAAATGTAATCTGCTATCTGCCAGATGTTCACTCAAGTCACTCATATACCAACAAAAGGTGTTCCATCCCTTAAAATAAAACAAGTTCGAAAATACCATGAAATCTCCCTTCATAAGCACTTCCTCTGTTAAGTGGCCTATTATTTTCTAGTGCGGGCTTATTGAAGCATCAGGCCGAATGAAACTGGTCTACATATCCTCTTTGTCCGCCGCAATAAAGCCCGCTCCATGTAAGTATCACAATTTCACCTTGGACTTGATTGAGTCGAAAATTTGCAGCCCATCAAGGGTCAATTGGAACCTGGAGAAACCGTAACGATGTTTTTGTTTCTCCCCTGTAATTTAAAAAGCCTGTGTAAGTCGGACCGTCCCCATCAGCAAAGCGCGGTCGGTGTTCACGGGAGAACATGGCAGCAGGACCCTGCAAGGTTCCGTCAAATCAGGCCGGTAGTACTAGAACTAGTGCATTCAAATGTCCCGCACCCGCTTGACCAACAGCACATCACAAAGTGTGTTGTTTTCATCTGTTTTTTTTTATTTCTTTCATTAGTCTTGTGTTACATAGCTACTCTATATCTTTTCTTCTTTGTTCAGTTGTTTTCTCTGATAAGATTGTTTGTCTGGTGTGGCAAGTCAACTCTTGTATTCACTCTCTTGGCTCTTTTTGTTCTATTTCTGACATTCTCTGATCCTCCAGTCTGGTTTATTTCTCAGTCATAAAACTCTCTAAGTTTTCTGAGGCTTTCCCTGCAACATGCCCCAATCTTGGAAAACATCTCTTTTGTAAGGAACTCCATTTGTGGAAAAGAAAAATCCTCTTCCACAAGGTGCCCTGCTTGCGGATAAAGCCTTCTTTTTGAAAGAGGGGGGGGGGCACTTCAGAAAGAAGGACTTGCCTCAAGTCTCCTCAAAGCTTCCAGGTGTTAACTGATGTTACTTTCTGGAATGTTTCTTGTAGTGCCTGTTTATTTATTACACAAGAGCCTCAATTTCCTGAACCAATTGTACATAGTTGGAGTGATTTCAAATCAAGCAAAAAGAGTAAAGCTCAATATAAAACCAAAAAAGTGCCCACTACACCGCAACAAAAAACAGGCCAGTTGCTGAAAGTTGACATGTGGGCTACTGCTGCCTAACTCAAAATTCTTACTCCAAGTTAATAATTCTTCTGCATAGTCATTGTAGTGACTGTGCATTAATTATCAGTTCAAGTAACCTCTGAGTACAATGAGAGTAAAAACACAAGTAGTATCCAAGCTGCTGCATGTGAACTGCCATCAGGTGTCCTCAACAATTTTCTTGTGGTGCTAGGAGAAATGCTTTTGGCTCAAGATAATTGTTGTTTCAGAACAAAAGGTGTGTATGAAACCTGGTCCTGCATAATTGGATTTGGTTGATTCTCATGCTTGTATGTAGCAGGAGCTTCAGAAAAATACCACCACAATGATGCACAAAAGACAGATAAGACCCGCCTTCTTTGCTACTGTTTATGAAGAATGAATTCCTCGCTCAATCCAAACCCCAAAGAACCCTTTTGATTTGGCTCTGAATTGAATTTGAGCCATGGGCCTGTATTTGTAACTAGTCTCTTATTCCAAGGGGGTTGATGTGTCAGGAGCTTGGATTGAGAATATGGCACTGAGGTCGGTAATACTTGGGAGTAAGTCTCAAACCATAGGTAGATCATCATAATGTGGGGAGGACAGCACATCGAAAGCAACAGAATTTAAGCGGTATGGGTAGTAAAAAACAAGTGACAACAGCATCCAGCAAGGATTTTAATTTTCAGACTTGGACATGTGTCAATAGTTCTGCTGGGGCTGCAGTTTTGACTTGAGGCAACCTCCAGTTTGATTGCTTTTCCATCAGTTCTGTTAGTCTAGCTGATTCCACAGCATTTCCAAAAATTTTGGGTTCTGGCTTGCAACATTGAATGGAACGTTGCCACTTTCATCTGGATGATGAGCACGGGAAGCAGCGTGGTGAGCCGCTGCCTCTTGGAACATCGTACCCGATCCACAATTTATTCAGCCAACAGCACCTGAGCACATCTGGAACCACTGCTCCTAGTTCTGCTCGATCGCGGCAGGACGCTGGCCGGTCCATTAAGTCGGCTTGGAATCCACACCTCCAGCTCCTTCCTGCAGACCTCAACCAAGGCCAGCACATGATATCCCTTCCCGGTATCACGGCTACTGGTCCAATCGCAGCAGACTGCCATGCTTGTCCGCATCGACAAGTCTCCGGGCTCATGCTTGATCCCATGGGCGGCAACACTGGCACCGCTACTCCGGGAATTTTCATGTCCCCCCCCCCGTCACAGTCCATCTCATATGGCAGACCGGCTTGTCCGACCGATTCACGCCAACAATGGGAGGCCTGAAGAGGTGGTAACGAATTCGAGGCCTTCTTCATTTGGCGAAAGTCCCACGACTAAAAACATGCGCTCACCTCCTACAACGGTTTCGGGGCGGGATGGCGAAGGGTTGGGGTACACATCTGCCAGGGCCTCTATGTATGCATTCCATTTTTCAACTCGTCCGTACTCTGTTCGAGGAGTCTGGTTTTTTTAATCCTTCTGCCATAGTCTGGTGCAGCCGAACACGATTCAGATCAACAATTCAGTCGGCCACCTCTCCCCCAGGACAAAGGAGGCTCTGATAGCGGAAAGATTTCCCCTACGTATTTACTTAGTACCTTCGGAGCGTGTCGTTGGTTATACCTGTCTCAATGCGGAACAGCTCAGTCAGCATTTACATAGAGCTTATTTAGTGGAATCTGCAGATCTGGAACTATAAGGTGCGTGAAGAAAGATTGGATGGATCCAAGTCCGACTTAATAATTAGTCAGCCAATCCAGCTCCAAAGTGATTGGAAGTCTCAATGTATATATTTTATTTTTCTCCCCCTTCAATCTTCAGCCTTCACTCCCGACCTTCCTATTCTCAGTGCACTTCCACAACTTCGACTTCAACATCTCTTTCCTTCTTCACCTTCGGCATCGCCCATTGCTATAACCTCACTTGCAAACCTCTACATCGAGCAGTTGGATCAGGCAAGAAATTTCACTAAATCGCTACATATTTCTCCTGCCGCCCATTCAGTAACACATTCGGGGTTAGCCTGCCACTATACACAGCATCGCCAGACATGCCCTGTGCCCAGATACCTTAATAGCACCGGGACTGCGTGGACGATTCTTGTCCTTCGGCTGACCGTAGCTGATCTGCACACATCCCGAATATTTTGAGATCACGCTTCCCCGTAGAGTTCAATCAATCTCCCAATCCGATGCCCGACGGGTCGAGATGCTGCGCCCACACTAGGAGTAGGGTGGATGAACACTTTCAAAGAGAAGTACAGCTCTTGAAAACTACTGTGTTTTCCCTTGAGTCATCTGTGACAATGAGGAAGTGAAGTGGGCTGAGGCGGCCCTAGCCCTTAATGTCATATTTATCCTTACCCTGAACGTCTTGACTCCTCATCCCCCTGATTCCCCGCTCTCCAAGTCCATTCCCGCGCCTTTCATCTGTCGACTCCATAAATGATAAAATCACCCTTATCATGCGGACAGGTCGGATGATCATTTCTCACGCGAAGCGCTGTCCACCTCTTCCGACCCTGTTAGGAGTTCAACACAAAGATACAATAAGCATCGAGAGTTTACAAAAGTGTACCTTCTATCTTTACTGCAGCATGTCGCGTTGCAACCTTGATAGCTTGATAAAGATATATTATCACCCCAATTGAATTTGTCCGGACCCTAACCAGTACGGCTTGCTGTCTCCAGTCCCCAGCCTTCTGCTTTTGACGCTCTGTGAATCCTCGCGAAATGTGAGCAACACTCTTGGCAAAGCTGCCCATAGGTTAATTAGGCCTGCAGAAGGTCCTTCAAATCTCGCCTTGATTAGATTTATGAAGGCAAATTCTCTTGCAATAAACATATCCCTCCGTGAAGCTCCATGCGGTTCCTTATTCCCTGACTCAAGCCAAATTTACTGGTGTGCCAGGTGCTCTCAGTCTGGCTCCAAATCGCTCCCAACCTTTCGAACCGAAAGAAGGATTGATTACCTCTACTAGGTTTCCTCCATGCATCAATCTCCCTCCTTGATAGTCCTTCTCTTCTAAAGTCAAATTGACGAACCCTACCCTCTTTAGCCAAAACTTACATTCATTTTCCACCTGAAAATTTGAACAAAATCAAAGTAGGAAAATTATCTTGCACCGATACCAAAGGAGAATGCGCGGCCTGTCTGGGATCATCTCAATTGCCTTAGTCTCTATCTCTGCGACGGATGCGTCGCCTGAGGCCCCTTCTGTCGATGTGCACAACATCGAACAGTTGACGGAGGCAGCGTGTGCGGCGATGGGAAATTTGATGTCCTACTTCACCCCTAATCCTGTAAATATGTTAATGAACGTTGCTATCTCCTGTTAGATTGATATTTGCTTACATTAAATCCATCGGGTTTTTTTCATTTTAGAGGGGAACTTTCAACGAGACTGACACTCCATGGCACGAATCAGGCATGATCTGGGGCTTGAATTTCGACTACGCCAGGTGGACTGGTGATACGAGATACTTGGACATCGTGACCCAAGCCTTGGTCCATCAATCGAATGATGAACTCCAGTGAGCGATTTCGGTCAACTGAAAGACGGGCCTCAGCTTATAAATCATATCTTGTCCAGTGATTTTCTCTCCCCTGGCGTCAAGGAGCAGTGGAACGATGATATTCTGTGGCCCGCCCAGGTAAGCAATCACCAGCTTGTTTTTTTGTTCTCTAATAAAATCCGAATTGAACGCTGAGAGAACGATTTCTGCATGTTTTAAAGGCAGGTAAGACGGGTCCCTTGAAGTTGCACTGATGAAGAGAAGCACTGATTTGACTGGCTCATTTTTCCTTCACTCAGTCGTCGCTGCTGCTGAATTATATGGCCCGAGCTCCACGCTTCCAAACAGCACCGAAACTTGGATAAACCTAGCCAACAAGACCTATCAAGAAGCCGCTTCGCAGACGGATGACAAGTGCGGAGGCGGGATTTACTGGGTACATTTCATTCGGCTTCGCTCCTAATTGCAAAGTATGATTGCCGCCCTGATGCAAACTGTATCTTGCGCGTTTTTAGTACCGAGACAGATCAGCCCCCCGAGGATCGTACAAAGCCTTGATCACTCACTCAGAGTTCATCTCGCAAGGGGCTCGGAACTATATGATCACCAAAGATCCTGAAACCCTGGAGATGGCAAAAAGCATCCTCGAATGGGTGATCTCCTCAGGGATTGCGAATCCTAAGACTGGATTGTTGATGGATGGACTCTCGATAAATAATTGTACGGATTTCACCACGTTCCAATGGAGCTACAACTACGGACAGTGGCTAGGCTCACTGGCTTGGATGCATAAAGCAACGGGAGATCAAAAATACCTCGACATGGCCACCCCATATTTCGATTACTCTCAGCGAACCTTTGCCGCTTCCAATACCTCGGGCATCATCTCAGAACTCTGTGAGCCTGATGGATCGTGCAACCGTGACCAGAAGGGCTTCAAGGCGATCTACGCACGAAATCTTGCGTACCTCCATCGGGAGACTAACAATAGCACGATGAAACGGGCTATCGAGAAAGTCATCCATACGTCCGTTCAAGCCATGGCCGCCCACTCGTGTGATAAGGATTGGAACTGCGCAGGCATTTGGACAACTGATGCCCATCCCATCAAATACGTACGCGCGCAACATGTCAGCGCGGCTTTGTTGGTAGCAGCTGTAGGTATTCACGGAGATGGCGGCCTGGACGCAAGTACATGCGATTAAAATGCTCACATCAAGCCTATCTAGTAACATCTCCAATTCCTCAACTGATGGCAATCTGCCATTTGTAGTCCTCATCCATCTCCTCCACCCCCTGCTCGTGGATATATTTTTCACACAACGGACACATCTTCATGAAACGGTTTGACTCATTTGACAAAGACTGACAGCGACTACTATTCAATAGATAAATTGCAATAAATACTATTACATTATCCTTGGTAAAACTTATTAAGTCTCTTGAAACTATAATGTTTTGATCTACATTTCCATCACAGAAATCTATTCTTATTAACATTTGGTTGCGGAGACTCCAACGCAGACAATTAAGATCCAAAGAAAAGTAAGATGAAGGAAGAGCTTCAGGGGTGAAGAAATTCAAGAGCCAGGCCATCTGAGAATCTATCCAGAATGATCAGCCTCTTACACTCAGGTTTATGAAGCTGAAAGGACCTCTACCAAACCCCAAGATAGTCCATAAACTAGTCAAGGGCACAAGGCTCATGTTGCATCTACCCTGGTCCAATTCCAAGCTACATATAACTACCACTAATAGCCACTAACATTTAACCACTTTCTGCTTCAACCTGTCACTCTAGAAAATGGCATGGTGGCCTTCAGGAAGCATTATAAGACACTCGATTCGACCCAGAAGGTGTTCAATTTCATTTATCGTATCATCGTGAAAGTATGAGCTAAGTCTCCCTTTTGCTCAATTTCACTTTATCTTAAAAAGACAAATTCATGTGGGGCTATCCAACAGGGAGTCCTCCATCCACTGTGTACATAATGAGAATATGCATGTTCATTTGACTGACATAATTCTAGGCAGGCGGCGGAGCCGTCTCAGAATCTAGTTTGGATCACACTGCCAAAAGTGTCCAAGATTCGCCTTTAGAGATCCAATATTGGTATGTTATTCAGTCATCAACCCGGATGATTGGCACCGAGATCAGCGTAGTGGGCCGGCGGCGGAGGATAGGAGGGGATGCCTTCTAGAATGCCATACTCGCTGAACAAGTTATTCGGTCAACGGCATCAACCTGGCCACACCCGCGTCGACTCCCGCTTGGCCTTTCATTGCTGTAGCACGCTGGCTGATTCGAGCCGGCATCCTATACCTTCAGCTCCTATCAGACCTCAGCACAACACCAGTCCATGATATTCCTTCCCGGGATCACGACCACCCGGTCAATAATAGTAGACCGACATGGGTGTCTGCAACAATAATCCTAGATAACCTCACACCTAAAAACCCGCGCTCATCTCCTAGAACGGTGTGGGGGTGGGATGGTTTGGTGTAGTCCAACAAGCTCTAGGCTTACCTTCACCCTCATCTTTCCCCTCAAAAAGGATTGGCTCTGATGACGGAGACATTCTCCTGGATTGCGTAGTAACCTCGGAGCAAATCATCGGTACCTGGCTCAATGCGGAGCCGCTCACCATTTACGTAGACTAGAGCTCATATGGACGCCGTCAGTCTGGCCGCCTACGTAGATCTCGGACTACATAGCTGGTGCGTGAAGAAAGATTTGATGTATAAATAGGGAGGCCTTCTGGCCAAGAGAAGATTCCTCAGATCTTACCAAGTCCGAGTTATTACTTATTCAGCTCATCCAGCTTGAAGGTGATTGGGGCCATCTTCTGTCTTTTCTCTCCTTCCAACTTTCAGCCTTTCACTTTCGAACTTCATACTCTCACTTCCTCAGCCTCGACTCCAGCATCTCTTTCCTTCGCAACATTCAGCATCACCCAACACCGTACATACTCGCCTGCGACCCTCTGAACTGAGCATCCTAATTAGGCAAGATATGTTTTACTAATTGATTATTTCGTCTTCCTCCAAGCAAGAAATCTTGAGTATGGTAGTCTCATCGTCACACCTGAGACAGTAGCACATGATATACCCCGTGGATGTTGTACGGCGCCAGTGCACAGTCACCGCGTGGGCGATTCGCGTCCCTTGATTGACCATAGCTGAAATCTAGCTTGCTCAGCCTCTCCGTCGAACGCACGAAGTGCGGGAGAGGCTTGTGACCAAAACGAACACACCCGCGTGTCGCTTTCGCGTTTTTAGGGTGTTTTTTGCGCAGAAAATTCTAATGTATCACTTTCTACACTTTTATAGGGGAAAAATCTGGGACAGCATGCCCCAGATGCGAAAGTCAATTTTAATCAAGGAATTATCCAGAAATATTTACAACTACATTCTAGAGGAACTTTGTAATTGTCAAAGTTTCCGCTCAAATTTGTGCTTTTTGCTTATGTAATAGCTTCTCAAGGC